TCACAACGATTCCATTAGCATTCAGCTTTTGCTGTGGAAGGGTTTGGATCTTTGCCATTAAATGCCCTTTAAAGTGAAATTTGGCCAAGTCATAGCCTAGAAGCAATAGCAGGGTTGAATTGATCTACTAAAATGAAATTGCCAGACTTGAGTGGTCTAGCAACCATAATGCATTATGCTGACTACATAGATTCCAAAGTTCTTTTTAATACCATTAAAGCACTAATTTTTCATGTTCAGAGATGTTCACAAATAGTTTACCTAATTTCTTTCACTTATTTTGGAAACATACAATAATACCAGTTTATAAACCACAGCTAGAAGAAGATACTTACATCACATCCCCCAATTCTCTACCTAATCCAAATTTACAGGAATTTAAGGTAGGGAGTACATAGCCTGAAGTGTAGCTTACAGGATTATTGCCTTACTTGCCAATTTAGGACTCTAGGTTGTAAGTGACAGAAATTCAAAGGAGCTTGGGCACAAAATGAATTTATTGGTTCCTATAAATGTAAGTTTTGGGAGTGTTTGCTTTGTAGTATACTTGGATCTAGATAATCAAAATCTAACAATGTTGTCATGAACCTGACTCATTTCAGCTCTCAACTGTGCCTCCTCTGTGTTTTCTTAATTCCCAGGCAGGCAATATTCAAGTGGTGGCAAAGACGGCTAATATTCTGAATTTATCTTAGTAACATCATAAGAATTAAAGTTCTTTTATCCTCGTTACTTTGGCCAAAGTTCTTGGAATGGCTCCCATTAGCTCTTTTTTGGAATATGTAACCATCCCTGAGTAATTATGAAGCCAGGGGTGAGGGTAGAATGCTCTGAATAACCACTCAAGTCTGGAAGTCTATTTTTAATAGATCATTTGTGTTCCACTATTGCCCTTGATGATAACTTGGCCAAATTTAACTTTAAAGGGCATCCATCCTCATGCAAGGCTGAGGACTTGAGTCAGTCTCACTCAATCTCCATGGTTGAGAAGTGGAAGACGTGTCATTCCTATTACTAGGACAAGGGGAAATAGATATTGATCAGACAAAACAATAGAAATCTAGTATACCTGGATCTGTTTTTTCAAGTGACAGAGAAATACGGTAATCTCTCATTGGCTTCTCACTAGTATGAAATTTTACTTTACAGTAATTTATTTCAATTCAAATTTTCCATATTGGGCATATTTGGGTCCTAACATAAAGCTTGGATTTCCCATTGTTTTCTCTGGGAATAATTAGAAAGAGAACTAAATATCAGCATAGAAAATGGAGGTAAAGTGAGCAATAGAACAGGAACAGAATTGTTTAAGATAAACTTAGAGAACATATGAAATGCTGTGTCCTGTGTTAGGGATCTTTCAACTTCAGTTACAAGTGGTATGTCAAGAGAACGGATGACATCTGCTTTGGAGTGACTTTATCTTGGGTAGAACCAACATTTTATGCCTCCCAATTGAGAGGGAGTTAAAATACTTAGGAACTCGGCTAAATTTTTTCCATCTCGAGTGTCAAATTTTTCTTTTTCTCTGGGACTACATTTCTGTGGTGAAATGTAGAAGGTGATATAAGTAAATAAAAATCATAATATCAGAAAGGTATTAAACATTTAGTTGAAAGAATAGATATAAAGAATAAATTTTAGTATTTATATGCAGCCAAGAAAAGTTAATCAATGAATGCCTGGATGAAATTATAGAGAAGAAAAGGTAAATTCTTAAATGTTTACAGTGAAAGATGAAATACAAATAGGAATTAACTGTTAGTACATATTATTATAATTATTAACTAGGAGTAAAAATATTACCTAAGTTGTAGGGTTGTTATAAGAGCGAAATGAGAAGATAATGTATAGAGCTAGGCTTAGAGAAAGTCCTCAATACTTGTAGCTATCATATGAGATGTAAATGTTCTTCCATAGTTACAGTAAAAAATAATAATAACAGCTTTCATAACTTCGCTTATGACCGTGGTGCCTGGCTTTAGTTTTTCCAAAAGGTACAGATTTTCTCAATCATGCAGTAAAGCCAGCATGGATGGTGCATTGAGTGTATTCCATGGACTCTGAAGGAAAATTGTAGATGAGACTAGGCTGAGAAGGCCTCAGAGGAAACTCTCATTGTAGCCACAGAGACCCTGGGAAGAGTGAAGAAGAGGAAGAGTCTGGGCTCTGTGATGCTGCAATTCTGCTCAGATTCTAGCCTACAGCCTAGAAGATATAGTCTGCCAGCCCACGAGGCTTATAGTCATTTACAAAGCTGAAGTGCGTCCCTAGGGAAGCCTCTATATTTACAGAAAACACACTGTTAGCAGACTTCTATTTTCTCAGCTCATTTTTGGCCCCACTCCAATCCATTCTTAGTTTTGTAGCCTGATCTCTTTAAGATGCATTTTCTGTTAGTCCTGATTGATGGACTGCTTAAGAAAGAAGAGCTGGCATTTGAGGTAGTCTAGGTGTTTCTCCCTACTTCTCACTCTCCATATCCCATCAGACCTGTTAATTCTTCCCCCTGAATATTCTAAGCATCCTCCTATTTTTTCATCCTCACTTCCATGACCCAGTTGCAGACATTGATTGTCAACCCCTGGGACTATTGCAGGGGCATTTTATTGTCTCTCTGTTTCTTTTCTCTTCTTTTTCAAAGCTTTCCAAAACGTAGTGCAACCAGAAGTAATCTGAATCAAAGGTAAATCTGGCATTTCACTTCTCTGCTCAGCATTCTTCAGGGAATATCCTTCACCTACAGGACAAAATTTATAATCTTTACGCGACCTTCAAGGGTATCAATGATGTTTCCTGCCAACTGTCACTCCCCGTAGGTTGAATCTTTAACTTCTAGTGGTCTAAATTATGTGTAGTCCCCTAAACTGGCCATACTTTCTACTCTCTGAATTTACCCTTGTCTTCCCCTCTTCTTAGGTCCCTCTCCTCCTTCTGCATTTCCATAAAATCCTTGTGTTTCTCAAGTTTCAATTCAAATGTTATTTTTTTTTCTCTAAAATGTTCTTGACATTGATGGTCTTTAGTTCATCTGCTCATTCATCGAGTCCCTTAAATGCTCTTTCCGTTATATTCCCATAGAAAGTGTCTACTTATTTATAGGAGTGCTCTTATTATGCAATAATTTTTATTTTTATTGTCTATTTCTTTCTAAAAATACTTGAAGGTTCTAAAAGACAAAAGCTATGTCTTTTAATCTAATCCCTACAGCACAGAACAGTACCTGGCACATAACAGGTACCCACTTAAATAATTGTTAAATGAAAGAATTTACTTGGAAAAGTAGGGAAATTAAAGAGGCAATTGGATTATGGTAGGACAATGGAGATCATCCCAACAGTAGTTTCCTATATTATGATCCTGACTGGATCCGACCCTGCATTCTCCCTGCCTGTCCCTCTTCAGAGGAGCATGGAGCAATAACACTGGGTAGTTATTGTTTCATAATTCTGTTTCCCCTTGTGCTTGTGTGACATAGCTATTCACTCCAATCGGCAGGTACTGCCCACTTGATACTCAGAAGAGTGAGTGGGTTAATTGTCTAGAATCCTTATTAGTAAAGAGAAATTTATGATAAATTAATGTCAGGAGATATTGAGCAATAGTGCACAGAACCAAAAAAAGTTTTGAGAGCCATTTTCCTATTTCCATTCTTGGAAAGATAATACTTAATCCACTTTTTGCATCATTACTTTTCCTTCCCACAGCCAATATGTAGGCAACCGGTTGCCATGAAGAGTAACTGTTTTTCTGATTAATTGGAAGCATTAGGAATGGGCACGCTGATGTGCAATGGAAATCGTGAAATATATTGCATAATCCTGTTTCCAAAATAGTCTCTTGGTTTACTTTATTTTGAAGGAATCTCTGAATACTGAAGCACATGTGGAATTTTACATGGTGATTTCATTCATTTCACAGCTATGGTTATGCACTTTTGTTTTTGTGGTATTATTGGGATGGTTCCAAAACATGATTATTATACCATATTTTGAAGTTTGACTCCAGAATGAATTTGAAGAATACTTGTAGTATCTGTTGCCATTTATATAATATACTAATATGCTCTCCTTATGGCATTATGAACAATGAAAAATATTGAATTTATAGATAAAGTGGAGAAAAGAGCAAAATTATTTTTTGCTATCATATTATTATGCAGCTCACTTTCTTTCAGGTTTCCCTCTGGGTTTAATATTAATATTAATAATCTATCAGTCCATAGCTACTTAAGAGTGCTCTCTATGTACCTGGCATTATTTTAGGTAAGGTAGGCAGGATGTTAATGATTACTAATTGAGCACCATTGGCCAAGCACCATACCAGGTACCTAGCACATGCTGTCTCATTGAACCCTTTTTCTTAAATTGAGGTATAATTGACATATTAAGTTCAGGTTATACGAACAACATAATGTTTTGATATTTGTATATATTGTGAAATGATCACCAACATGAGTCTAGTTAACATCTGTCCCCATACATAGTTACAAATTCTTTTTCTTGTGGTGAGAGCTTTTAAGATCTACTTTTCTAGTAATTTAAAATATGCAATACGATATTTTTAACAATAGTCACCCTGCTGTACATTACATCTCATGACACTTATTTTATACCTGGGAGTCTGTGCCTTTCAACCCCCTTTGCACATTTCATTCTTCCTCCAACCCCCTCATTTAACCCTTACAATAGGAGGCATTCTCTCTATTTTATAAAATAGGTAGCAATATCTCGATTCCAAAAATGAAGACATTGGGTTCAAGAGGGTTAAGAAGAAAAATAAGACCTTTTCTTCCTCTCAACAGTCCTAATTCTATGATCAACAGCAGTAACCTTGGGGGATCCTTGGAAGATGACAAACCTTCTCATCCTTTCCATTCTCCTCTTCTGAGTGAACGAATGCCAAGGCCTAAAAGGCAGAGCTGGTCTGCAGAGTGCCAGGGAAGCCTGGGTCTGCCAGTATTCTGAAAAGGAGAACTGATGCTGTACCTTCACTCCCAGGGGCTGGATGGTGGCCTGGACAGTGGCATGGGAGAGCATATCGTATTCTGAAGAGAAGCTGGGCTGCAGGGATCTGAGAACCCCTACCATGAACGTTGGTATCAACCTAGTCCAGTGAGTATGGTCTGCTGGCCCTCATGGAATCGGGGAGCTGCTGAACAAGTGGCTAAGTTCACGCTCTT